AAAATAAGGAGCCCCTCCCCACGCCCCTCTGAGAGACATTTGGTTACAAAGAACTCAATGGTGCTCTAGGAGGAGATTCAGGTGATAAGGTGGGGGGGGGGGGGTTCCTTGGTTGCTGATTGGCTAATGGTTACACAAGACAAAACATCGTTATGACATCATAAAGGGGCCAAAATCTGATCAGCTCATTTTCAGACAGGTTTTTATAGAAATGGATCAAAAAGAGAGAGAATCTTTGTTCCTGAAACTTTCAGAGTCTCTTTCCACAGAGGGGACACATGTTGATGAAGAAGAGACATGAAGAAGAGGGGACACATGTTGATGAAGAAGAGACATGAAGAAGAGGGGACACATGTTGATGTAGAAGAGACATGAAGAAGAGGGGACACATGTTGATGAAGAAGAGACATGAAGAAGAGGGGACACATGTTGATGTAGAAGAGACATGAAGAAGAGGGGACACATGTTGATGAAGAAGAGACATGAAGAAGAGGGGACACATGGTGATGAAGAAGAGACATGAAGAAGAGGGGACACATGGTGATGAAGAAGAGACATGAAGAAGAGGGGACACATGTTGATGAAGAAGAGACATGAAGAAGAGGGGACACATGGTGATGAAGAAGAGACATGAAGAAGAGGGGACACATGGTGATGAAGAAGAGACATGAAGAAGAGGGGACACATGTTGATGAAGAAGAGACATGAAGAAGAGGGGACACATGTTGATGAAGAAGAGACATGAAGAAGAGGGGACACATGTTGATGCAGAAGAGACATGAAGAAGAGGGGACACATGTTGATGAAGAAGAGACATGAAGAAGAGGGGACACATGGTGATGAAGAAGAGACATGAAGAAGAGGGGACACATGGTGATGAAGAAGAGACATGAAGAAGAGGGGACACATGTTGATGAAGAAGAGACATGAAGAAGAGGGGACACATGGTGATGAAGAAGAGACATGAAGAAGAGGGGACACATGGTGATGAAGAAGAGACATGAAGAAGAGGGGACACATGTTGATGAAGAAGAGACATGAAGAAGAGGGGACACATGTTGATGAAGAGACATGAGGAAGAGGGGACACATGTTGATGTAGAAGAGACATGAAGAAGAGGGGACACATGTTGATGTAGAAGAGACATGAAGAAGAGGGGACACATGTTGATGTAGAAGAGACATGAAGAAGTAGATTTTGCATAGTAGGTGACCCTTAAGTATTCCAGTCATGTTTGTTGCATGTTTCTATTTGATTGTATTTACTTGTTTAAAATGAAATGTGTCTTTAGGTTGAATTACAAAATCTGTCCAGGGACGACAGATGAAAAATAGCTTCTTGGCTAACTGCTTGCTTTCTTCATAAATCAAAAAGTTAGAATTCTGAAACCCTCACTCGTCTCAGTTCCTTACCTTCCACAGCTGCTGTCGCTCCAGTGTCCTTCTCCCTCCTCTTGGCTTGCTCCTCAAGCCACATCATCCTCGGAGGACACTCCAGCTGCTCCGCTGTCCTCGGCTTCTTCTCTGCCTGAGCCGCTGGACCGGGTCGTTGCTGCTCCTTCAGCACCTGCTGCAGCGCCTCGTTTCTTGCGTCTCGATCCTCCTTCTCCTCGCCGAGTCCCTTCTCGTTCATCTTGTCCACCTTCTTCTGGGCGGCGAGCAGCGCCTGCTTCTCCGCCTGCAGGTGTTTGTGGGACTGCAGATTCAAGATTTTAAGTTTCAAGGCTTTTATTGTCATTTGCACTTTAGCTACAGTGTGGATATGTATATGAACATCTGACGTCACAGGCTCCTCCAACAGAGCAACATAATACAATTGTGCAAGTAAAACTAAATTAATTTGTATTTGTAATAAGATTGATGTGTTCAAGGTTCCTGCCGGTTTCACCAACTCAAATTGAAGACTTATAATATGCGTGTGAGTTGCAAACAGATGAATGAGGTGGTTTTAGACCTGATACTATATAATATGCGTGTGAGTTGCAAACAGATGGATGAGGTGGTTTTAGACCTGATACTATATAATATGTGTGTGAGTTGCAAACAGATGGATGAGGTGGTTTTAGACCTGATACTATATAATATGTTCATAAGTTGCAAACAGATGGATGAGGTGGTTTTAGACCTGATACTATATAATATGTGTGTGAGTTGCAAACAGATGGATGAGGTGGTTTTAGACCTGAAACTATATAATATGTGTGTGAGTTGCAAACAGATGGATGAGGTGGTTTTAGACCTGAAACTATATAATATGTGTGTGAGTTGCAAACAGATGGATGAGGTGGTTTTAGACCTGATACTATATAATATGTTCATAAGTTGCAAACAGATGGATGAGGTGGTTTTGGACCTGCAGGTGGTTCTGGTAGGCGTTGATGCTGGAGAACTTCTTGCTGCAGACGGCACAGCCCTCAGTGGCCGCCGTATCGCTCAGCTGTTTCTCCGCGGCCACTCGCTGAGACAGGACTCGCTCCTGGAAGTTTTCCGCGGTGACCGGCGGCATGTCGGCGACTTTACGCTTCAGGTTGTAGCGGTGCCAGTCGGTTTTATAATGCGCCCGCTGCACCTCGCCATCTGTGAACGCCACTCTGCAGCTGATGCACGTGTAGGAGGACATGGCAACCTGAGGGAAACAAGGGGGATGTTGAAATAAGATTGTTTACTGTTGGGAAAATACTGAATGTCATAGTAAATAGTAATATGAGAGTGCACATGATAACAAAGGTATCCCAACTGTAGCTGTGTACATGACAGGATGTCTGATTACCTAGAAGAGCATCAGGACTGTTTTAGGCATATGATAGCTATGTGATTAACATGATAATACTTTTCTACATTTTACTCAAGTAAAAGTATAAAAGTATTATCATCAAAATATAGTGAAAGTAGCGACAGTAAAAGTAGTCATTGTGCAGATTGGTCCATTTCAGAATAATATATATGATATGTTTTATAATGATTGATCATTAAAGTGTTCTCAAAGCTGGTAAAGGTGCAGCTAGTTTGAATGACTTTGTATACTGCAGGGTAGCTTGTGAATTTACTCCAGGTGGAACTAAAGTATGATTTAACACTTGATTAGATTTCACATCATTCATCCACATCTGTAAAGTAACTAAAGGTATTAAATACATCTAATGGAGGAAAAGTACATGATTTACCTAAGTCGTAGTAAAAAATGTACCTCGAAATTGTGCTCGAGTACAGAACTTGAGTAAATACACTTAGTTACTTTACACCACTGGTATTTAGTGTCTCTCCTGTAACTTGTTTCTATGCTTTAATGTTCTTTATTTGTCTCATACTGCCTGTGTGTAACTCCTTTAAGATGAAGTCTGGTCAGTTGTCGGTTAGCCTACCTAGCTAAACAACAGCTAGCGCTCTGATAAAAGCACTAAATTACGTAATAAAATGAACTGAAATAGATCCCTAACGCCACCAACTACAACTAAACACACGTACAAATAATAAAAACACGAACTATTAAATTGTATTGGTGATTTTTAGACAAGCTAAGCTAACATCGACTAGCAACCAACACTTTAGGCTAAGTAAACATCCGTTAAAAACCGTTAGAATCTGCGACATTCAAAATACTCACACCAACCGACAGTTTAAAACATGTCTACTCACCTGTTTAGTGAACTGTCTCCTCTGAAGAAAGTGTTTTAATCTCTTGTTTGGATAAATTAGCTCCTGTCTTGCTTTCTACAGCACAATACGCATGGAGAAATGAAGGAAACACGTGAGGCTCTATTCACAGGGTGAACTTCTCCTCTTCTTGATTTACCGCCACCTACTGTATTGGAGTGTGGACCAGAACCATCGATGCTGAGAGATGTATCCATAGATCTCAATTTTACCATCAGAGAGGACCAGTTTGATGCATTTAACTTCAAAATCTTAAATATGTCATGCCCCGGACCCCCCTAAAGGATGTGAGATACCCCCCCTCACTTAACAATGTTTCACATGGATAGGAAACTAAATACATTTGCACACTTGTTATAGTAACCATGTTTTGGTAGTACATTGGTCGATTGTAGAGAGTTTTAATTCAGTATTTACATTTCATACTGTGTATTCTTTTGATACTCGATTGATATATATTGACAAAGGATAGTCTTTTTTCTGTAGTCATCAGGCTGAACAACCAAGGGTTAACAATCTAACCCAGCGGTGTCAAACTCAAATAGTGGGCCAAAATAAAATAATGGGTAGGCCTACTAGTCGAGGGCCGGACTGGTTCAATGTTTATTGCAAAACGTATTGAAATGAACTTATTGCACATATTAAACCTGGAACTAACAAAGCTTAAATGATTGCCTATAAAAACAACGTTAAACATTAAATAATCAGTTGCATTAATTCCTTATGGCTCTATCTGCAGAGTCATTTCTTATGATTACATTTCTCCACAGGCCAACAACAGCTTCAAAAAAACGATTTCCCTCAAAGAAAAAAACAAACATACCCTGTTGTCTCAAGAAAGAAAGTGCAGAAGGAAACATCCATGTAAACTCAGTGTGCTGCTCTGTGATGCTAGTTCAAGCCAGATACTTGGCATCTCATCTTGGGTGCAAGTTCATCAATGTTTGGGGTCAGGCTCTGAGCTGAGGAGACCCTCAGGATGGAGTGAAGGTGTGCGTGCAATATACCGGCGGGCCAGATCTAATAGTCATTAGAAATTATCCTGCGGGCCGAAATTAAATCTACCACGGGCCTGATTTGGCCCCCGGGCCTTGAGTTTGACACATGTGCCTTAGCGTATTAACATCTTGCTTTTATTGCTTTTAAATTGTCTATTGTTTTTACATGTACTTGTTTTATGGTGTGTGTGAGCTGTGCTGTGTTATTTTGTGTATGTTTTGTTTTGTTTATTTGACTGTACAGCACTTTGTTCTGGAGGTTTAAAGTGCTCTATAAATAAAGTATTGTATTCTCTAGGATTAATTGTTTTTTTACACATATACCTCGAATGATGTCAGTAAAGCATTACTCATTTATTATCAGCTTTATTTCATGATCACTGAGCAACACATTATTCACAATCTCTACATAATTATCATTGTCTGTGGTGCAGTCACATTGATTACCTGAAAAACATGTATGCACTCCACACGTTTCTTTCATCACTGAGATAAATGACCCATTAAACCACAAAACCCAGATTCCAGAAAGATGCCATATATGGACTTTATGTTCTATGGTAAACAAAAAAGTATTAATATCACATATGTTGCATGGAGTGTGATTTGCTGGAAGTTAGAGATATTGCACACCTTGCACCACTTTATATGTCCACTATGTGGTGCTGGAGAAACACTATTAACAAACAGATTGTCACTAAACATCAATTGTAGACCACACATTGTTATTTTCATGATGTTTGTCACATGGGACTGACTACCTGCTGCCTTTAGGTGGTGCTATGACTTATCAAGCACTCAACATTGGTAGTTTGGAGACTGTACAATGAAGTTACAACAACTTCCTGTTTCATGGCGAGTGTCTATGGCTGCCATCGTTATGGAATTAAAAAGGAGTCAGACAGCCAAAGGTTTGCTAAATCTGCTGCCGTCCAGCATCAATCCTGACTGTCTCACGCAAACCGGCTGTCATCTCAACCTGTAAAGAATTCAATTACGCCATTTATAATCCTAATTATGAAAGGGGTGTCCTCAGCTTCCTGTCTGGCCCTACTTTCCTGCTCTTCTCTTAATCTCCTCATCTCCTCCTCCATTTCTCTTTCACGAGTTTCAAGTAGCTTTTTCATCCTCTCTTTGTCATCTTTCACTTCCTTCATTTGTTGCTCATACTTTTCCGATATTTTCTTCTCCATTTCCTCCTTCTCTTTGCGCATTTCCTCTTCTCTCTCTTCAAGGATCCGTCGTTTTGCCTCTTCTATGGCCCTCTCTGCCTTCTGGAACATTTCATTGGTGTAATGGCTTCCTCCGTTCTTCTCTGTTATGTTTCTGATCTTGTCGAGCAGCTCTCTGACCTGAGAACGATCCTCCACCTTATTATTGAAGACGTGGTACTGCCCGTTACATCTGTTCACAAGTTCCTGCAGCTCTTCACTTTCCTTCAATAACTCTTCGATAGTTTGGTTTTCGAGCAGATCACCGTGGGTAAAGAGAACCATGCTGTATCTGTCTGCTTCCTCTCCAAAGATTTCCTGAATCTTCTTCACTGACTGCCTTTCTTCATCTGTGAATCTGCCCAGTCTGATGACGACCAGGAAGACATGGGGTCCAGGAGAAGCATAAGCAATGCTCTGGCTAACATCGTTTCTGGTCTTGTTTTCATCAGTACTGGTGTCAAACAGACCTGGAGTGTCAATGACAGCAACCTTTTGTCCATCCACTTCCCCAAAGGCCTTAGCACAGTGTACGGTCAGAGATTTAAAAGAAAACTTTGATTTAAAGTACTCTTTTCCCAGAATGGTGTTTCCCGTGGCGCTCTTCCCAGCTCCAGTTTTCCCAACCATCACAATCCGGACGACCTTATCATTGTGGTAGTATGCATCGCCCGAGTATGTGTTGTGGCAGTTTGTAGAAGGTTGAGACGAACAGACTGAAAAACAGAAAAAAACTATTTATTGATGTCTTCATACATTTGTTACAAACACAATTGTTTACCTTTGAGGTTCCAAATAGAACCTTTTATGGTTATACAAATAAACCACAAGGACTGCCTGTCAGTCTTCTGGACCCCTCAAAGCTCTTTACACACTGCGAGTCATTCACCCAATCACACCTCATTCATGCAGAGCAGCACCACTTGCTCTAGGGAAGCTTACACTCACACACTGTTGGCAATCGGGAGCAACTCATGGTTCAGTATCTTACCCGAGGAAACGTCGACATGTTGACAGCTCGTGCTGGGCTCGAACCCACGACCTCCTGTTTGAAAGACGATCGCAATCCCAAGCAGACAAAGTCCCAGGAACACTCTGAACACTTTTCAAAATAAAACAAGACACGTGAAACACAAAAACATGATCATGACAGACACACAGTCGGATCCCAGACGTCCCTGAAAATACAGTAAAAAGGATTCAGCAGGGTGGTTGGAGGGGGGGAAGGACCATGACATATAGGAGAGTAGCTGGAAAGGGGCATAGGAACTCGGGCAGACAGCCTTCAATTGAAACCGTTGTGGAGCAAATGCCGTAAAAAGAGGAAGGCAGGTATATATACACAAAAAGCAAGTTTTTATTTAAGAAAATCTGATAACAAGTAAAGTTTAACACCAAAACAGGGAGACCCGGCAAGGTCAAACAGAACAAATTAAAACTGAACGAGTACAGGCCAGAGAGGGGAAGATTAACACAACCCAACAGGAACCAGACGGGAATATAAACAATGAATCGAAAGAGAGCAGAAGGGAAGACAGGCATATAAATATATATATATATATATTTATATATACAGCACTAATTGTGGAGGAAACTTCTGTGTAGTAATGCATGGAGTCACCGACTCAGGAAGGAGACACGGTGAGAGTTGGAGCTTTGATGTCAAACACTGATGGGTTTATTCAGAGTATTCGGCCGGAGGATTCACATCACAAATCAAAGAGTCAGAGGTTCTGACTACACGGTAGAGTTGCCACGTCAATTCTGAAGAACCTCTCTCTATGCTAGACCTTTTAACAGGTTCACAGAGAGAAATCAACATCTCTGAAGGAGTAGACTAAACACTGAATCATCTGCGTCCAACGCTCATGGCCTCAAGGATTTCACATCCGAGAGCCCACAAACACCGATAAAGAAATGCTTCAGTGTTCTCACAACAATTACCCTACGTGCCAGTCAAGTTGACCGGTCACACACTGGTGACAACAACACATATGGCACCAAGGCCTTTCCTTAAAGGAGATAACACATGTCAGAGTAAAAGGTTAGATATCTAGAAGAATTATTCCTTAACAGTTCCTCTCTTTTTATCATTTTTGATAACCTTAAAACATTAGTCTAATAATTCTGGTCAATACTTAAATCAATAGGCGTCTTCAGATTTGAGTGTGGTCTCACCTTACATTCAATTACATCACAAAGTAGAGTAACATTGAAACATTCAATCACAATGATTGATACAGGCAATCATAATAGGAAAAATTATCTCTCATCAGTGTTTGGAGCATCTTTTGTCAATAAATACAATAATGAACACACATAAAAACACAGATACATAATAGCAAACTATAAAATCAAAACCAGAAACAGCTTAAAGATTTGCTTTAAGGCAATCACTAGTCAAAAGCATTTAAAACTTAGGATCATAAGAGATCCAGCTAAGGCATAAAATTCACAGTGGTGATTTGATCAATCTGTAATCGGCAAAGTTGCAGTGTCCTCAATTTTAGGATTACTTTACGTTTACTTCATTACGCTTTAGTCAAGAGTGAGGCACTTAGTCTTAGTAAAATCAATACATTCATTTTAATCAAATACATTGTTCAAAATCTGAAAAGGAAAAGTTAGGCAAATATTCAAAGACTTTTGTAAAAACCTGGAAAGGAAAGATTAAACATTCTTAAAACTTTAATTCATACATTTGTAAATGCTACAACTGATCTGTACCAAATTAAGTCTATCACTTATCCTTATTAGCCATACTTACCTGAAAATCTACTTATGGTACTTGGAAAGGGTTCTTCTGTGTTTATCTAATGTTGAATATAGAATATCAATTTCTTTAAATTATAATTCTCTAATTTGAGGATCAAATATGCTGCATAATTGTTATATGAATTATTATAAATATTTGTTTTGGGCCAAAACTGAAATGAATCCAGTACTTGAAACATCATTGTAGGTCTGTCTGTGCATGGGTAATACATTACAGAGTAGTGTTGTTAAGCCTGATTGCTGGATGATTAAGGATATTAACATTATCTGTTATAATATTAGAAATACCTTATTATTCAATACCTTATAATCTGAGAATATTTATTTATTAATTTTGTTTAGTGTGAAAATGTAATCTGATCTGACTAAATATATTTATCACCACTATTTAACACATGTCTGGTCATTGGAAATATAAAAAACAATCATTAATTGTACATCTTTAAACATCTGGTCATTCAATTCAAAGTTCATCTTTGTACAAGAGCTGGAAGAACATGTCCGTCAGTCTTCCTGACTCGTTCTCCTCCTCCCTTTATGACACCGAGTGTCTGGTGTGTAAAGGCATCCTGATACTGTAGATTAGCACTGAGGTGCTGATTGGCTCAAACTCTTCTTCATCAGAGCGCCATATTTCAACCCCCCAATTGCTCTGCTTTTGTGTGGCTCATTCAGTGAGCACTGTAGTTAATCCCCCAGTGAGACGGAGGCTCATCTGCCGGTATTCCTTCTGCTATCTGCTTGAGTACAACTGCGTATTCCTGATGCATCCAGGTGTCCCCCCCGTGATGGGAGAGGTTAGGAAGACATCAAACTCCTCCAAGAAACATGGAACCTTGTATTATAGAAGCCTCTGAAGCCCTCACTCGTCCTGCAGGGTTGTCTGCTAGAGCCCACCGAGCAGAAAGATGAAGAGAAGAACCCCCTCTCAGCAGAAAGGTGAAGAGAAGCATCCCATCTCGAACGACCTTGTGCTTCCTTGCACGTGGCTGGGGGTGCTCTCTGCACCCGGAGAGTGTGTCCTAGTTATTGGGTTAACACTTGATAGGGATGTTTTTTCTGAGTGAAGACAACTCAAAGTAATGGATTAGCACATTATCATTTAATTACAAAAATAGGATAGGCCCCTCAGAATTATTTGGGAGCCTTCCTGACACATGCACATTATCATTTTGAAGGTTTGTGTTAGTCATTGAACATGCAAGAATCATATGCTCATCAGTCCATAGCAGAGACATGTTATTGTAAGTTAAAGGTGAGCTTGTCCCTGTGGATATAACCCCTTCTCAATGATTCTAAATGTATATTAATTCACCATTTACCTTTTGATAAAATATTAGTTTATCAGAAATATTTAGTCTCTTCCATAAAACATAGGTTTGAGAAATAAATTACCCAATATAAAATCAATTACTCAATATAATTGACTCTTCCCTCCTTTTCTTACATATGGTACATATGAAATAATAACTTAGGAGTCTATTTAAGCATGGTATAGTTTATAATCTATTAATCGAGAAGACTCAGTATCACCTGTGTGCAGCTTACAAAAAGCCATTGTGATAAACATATATTATGCAGGAAATTGATACATTTGTTGAAAAACAAAGCATATCTGATTTGGGAGGAAAAGTTTCATCCCTTTAACATCTGAGTTATTACTGAAGGCATAGCATGAATGATACTGGGTGTCTCAGGGTGTCATTACTGAGAAATGTCAAACAAAATCAAAACCTTACATTTGAAAACAGGTTTGCATTCCTCCACTTAAGGTGACGTTATCATTGGAAACAATAAAAGCTAATTGTTTTGATGTAGAATCTATACATTGAATCGTTAGAGCAGAACAGAATGGTTGTATTGTAGCCTGAGTTTTGTGCAGCCTTTAGTTTTACCAGGTGGAAACATTGTCTATATAATGTGAATACATGTAGAACTAGACATTAAGAGACCCCTGACATTAGGCCTATTTGAACAATAGTAGGGGCTTTTACCAGCTCGCCAACTTACAGGCATCCTCTGCATAGCAGTATGAATAGCCTTAAAAACAACCCACTCTGCGGTAACGAGAGTCATGTATCTGAACCAAATGCCCTAAGTGAAGCCGTTAGTCTCATCTGACTGACCCAAGGGTTGGTGCTGGTGTGACAGGGAGGCTTCCAAGTGTTCATAGCAGATGTCATGCTTTCAGTTCATGGCTCAGTGGGGGGGAGCAGACCCATGTGAGACAGTATCAACGGCTGTAATGTTCAGTTTGAGGAGTGTCATTCTCTCTGGGAGCAGGAAATGGTGTCCATTCAGACCAGACCATTAATGTCATGTAGAGCAGCCATAGCATCTCTGTGACTGCACTCAGCCGGACTGCAGCAGGGCAGAACTGGGTGACTTTTAGTGAAGCCGTCCAAGGCCATAGACAAAATGGAACCACGTACTAACAAAAGGGACACAAGGTCATCAATGTCTCTCTTTACCTTTGGCCTAATTGTAAAACAAATTAATGGAAGAAATGTGGAACACTAATCCATCATCATGTGACATTTAGAGTTAATTTAAATAATTACTTATGGGTTGAAGTCAAATTAACATTAACATTAGAACTAAAGTCAGTCAAAATTGGACGTGCACGGATCAGAATCTAATCAATACACCATTTTCCCAGCTCTGTAATGAAAAAGATATCAAGATTAGGTACATTACAGGAGTGTTAAAACATCCAAACATGCACACTTATCTTATTCTAGTAGAGATTAGAGGACAGGTCTAATGTTGTGAACAAAATGATCAAGTCAAAGTTATTTTATTTATTTTATCTTATGTACCACATTTAATTTAATAATTAATCTTAAATTACTAATAACTTTAAAGAAGGCAACAATTTACAATGTGGATAAGGTGACTACTTATCCAAAGTGTGTGTGGGTGTGTGTGTGTGTGGGTGTGTGTGGGTGTGTGAACAGCTTGTCTGCCCAAGGTTAAAACATTTGGGACAGCAGTGAGAATGTTATGAGAAACAATTTGTTGCTTATACTGAACTCGAAAGAAGCTGAGATTAGAACATTTGAAATAAATCAAAACACTTGTACATTAATTAAATACATTTGACATTTAGCTTGAGCTGGGTTCAATACTTTCTTTATGGTATTTAAATTGGGCTCAAGTAGAACCTTTACATGGATTTGGCTTGCAACACAAAGTGATACCGATCTCTGTCTGTTATGATTTGAAAGTCTCATGATTTAAAGTGTAGGGCTGTGAAGGAGAGGCCCTTGGAAAACAACCTCCACTTCTTTGTTAACTGTAATTACTTATTGTAAAGAGATTGCAACATTATACTTTTTAAATAATTGCTCAATTCATTTAACACATTTATTATGCACACTGTAATGAAAACGTCAACAAATATATTGATCCTGGCTTAACCAGCGACCTTTACTCTTTTGTTCATAAACTCGGTTTCAGAAAACTTGTCAGTAGTTTAACAACTATTAGAATTTTAGTAATGTCTATGGAGACCAATTGGTTGATACGAGAAATAATTTGAAGCAGTTTAATAAAGAATGTTAAACTATATTTAAAACTGTAATTAAACTTCAACTTATATTAATTATCTGAATCCAGTGGCCAGTTGGAATAGATAATCAACAAAGTTTCCATTTTGCAGCAACAGCGCAAAAGGTTTCAACAATAATTTGTATTATGTCTGAGTCAAGTTCTGTCTTATCAGCTTTGTTTCGGAATGTGTTCAATACATTACGTTTTTTTTCATTATTACCATACAATACATAGATTTAAGAATAAATGAAACAAATAATACAATATTGACCTAAAACAGCAGACAGATTTTGCAACCCTGACCTCCTCAGGCAGGGTTTTTACGACCAGCAGTGATGCCTCTTAGGGTCTCAGGGTGCAGGACGGGGCATAGGGTTTATAAAAGGTCACAAACATATCTTAACATACCAGCAATACAATTTAAGAATGTATTCTTAAAGTAATATAATCTTCTCTTCTTCTTACACCTACAGCGCACACCCTGAACAGTGTGCTTCTTGTTTACGTTTCCTCTGCACACTCAGATGCAGCGCACACCCTGAACAGTGTGCTTCTTGTTTACGTTTTCTCTGCACACTCAGATGCAGGACATAAAACACTCTTTTGCTATTTATTTTCATTTTGCAGCACATCTATACTACCAGAATTTTGCAAAACACTATATATTATTTATCTTTCTCAAGTCATTTACTTTTGGTGAGTTAACTAAAGCTTAGTTTATTTTACCCTGGCTATGGACTGATTCATTATTAGTTGTTACAAAACATGCACAAGACGGCGGTTAGACAAACCAATATAGACCCCTGATACAAACAATCAGACAAACAAACATGATGAACTCATAATAAACACCAGCGTGACAGCAAAAGTTCATCCAGCTCAATTTAGTCCGGATTAAAGAGGTTTCAGAGGGGGTAGGGACTATTTGATCTCTCCCAATGGGAATCCAGTGGGGTACCTTGACTCGTACCTCCACCCTTGTATACAAGTCCTTAGATCGGTGCCTGAAGACCGTCCAAGAGCAATAACTAGCTTATCCTCTTGCGACTCCACTATCCCTGCTTTAGTGGTGCTATGCCCCCCCCGATCTGGGGCACATAGACTTTTTTCCTCTACCCTTTCTATCCGAAACCACACAGTTAACTGTAGTCCTACTCGACCAGCCTACACACCTCCCATCAAGCTCATCCCAACGATGAAACACAGTTTTGCTCTACACTTGCATACCACTGCCCACCCATGATCAATTAGCCTATAATTTTATGTATGCACCCCGGACCGACATCAGCTCCTCAGCAATGTAGGGTGCCTGTCGCATCAGGTAATGCACGCACCTCGCACCTGCCAGCACATCGTAAATGGCCACAAGCCACGAGATCGCTTTTAAACAGTCTCTTTTTTTTTAATAGAGACGGCGGTGGTGTGAGTTAAAGTTATAGACAAAAGCTGTGATTTTCTCCCTCTGAGTTCACTTCACCAGCTCATGCAGATACGGGGAGGTATTTGACACACATTCCCCGGAGCCGCAGCAGCTGGAGCCGTGTTTTTTTTAGAGGCGCTGGGGGTAATATCTATGGCTGCTTTAGTTAACTGCTAGTGTTGGCCGCTGAAACCCCCGGAATCTCGGCGATTTGTTCATTACAAATCTCTATTTTGATTTCACACAGAAGTTCCACTTTACTGCTGCCCTCATTAAGGTTTTTTTTTAAACATCTCCGTGTATGCCTGCACGGCACATACGTCCGAGCATCACACACAGAGGGAACCAGCCAGGACAGAGTCCCTGGATGATCCCCTGGGGTTAATAGCCCCAAATGTTCATTAACCAAAACGAAACGCAGCTGCTTAGCTTCACAGATAATTTTAGGATACCGTCAATCACAGATTCTGGTAAGGCAATGTCCAAATGTAGATTTGAAATCACACTTACCAGTCTCTGAAGATATGTTGGTATCCTGCCGACAACGCCAATTTGTGGAGGAAACTTCTGTGTAGTAATGCATGGAGTCACCGACTCAGGAAGGAGACACGGTGAGAGTTGGAGCTTTGATGTCAAACACTGATGGGTTTATTCAGAGTATTCGGCCGGAGGATTCACATCACAAATCAAAGAGTCAGAGGTTCTGACCACACGGTAGAGTTGCCACGTCAATTCTGAAGAACCTCTCTCTATGCTAGACCTTTTAACAGGTTCACAGAGAGAAATCAACATCTCTGAAGGAGTAGACTAAACACTGAATCATCTGCGTCCAACGCTCATGGCCTCAAGGATTTCACATCCGAGAGCCCACAAACACCGATAAAGAAGTGCCTCAGTGTTCTCACAACAATTACCCTACGTGCCAGTCAAGTTGACCGGTCTCACACTGGTGACAACAACACATATGGCACCAAGGCCTTTCCTTAGAGGGGATAACACATGTCAGAGTAAAAGGTTAGATATCTAGAAGAATTATTCCTTAACACTAATCAAAGACACAACTGGGGAGGGCAGGCAAAAACTCAAGAGTAGCAGGTGAACATATTCAGACAATCAAACAGGCAGGAAAACACAAAGGCAGAAAGTAAAAACAGTCAACACAGGTAGGGAACACTTTTCAAAATAAAACAGGGAACATTAAAATACAAAAACCAAGATCATGAAATTAATTAAATACTGAATTTTCCTGCAATTTGTTCTCATTTGATATATTTAGAACTGAAACCATTATACCAAATATATATGGCATACTGTACTGAATATTGGAAACCCAAATGTAAATGTTACATTCTGGTCTGAACTGAGATGTTACAGTCAAGAAAATCTACAAAGACAAACGATGATACTAACCGCATTTTAAGGCCATGTGTCTTGCAAAATCACACACATAAATTAAAGCTCAATATTAATATAATTATGAACTGATGAAACATCTTGACCAAATAAGAAGGGAAATCAAAGTAAGCACACTAAAGACCAATAATAGTTTACAAATATGTCCTTGATCATCACATTACTGATGAAAAACAATGCACAAATATTCAAAAATACACCTGTGTCACCGATAGATAAAGGATATAAAAACATGTTGATCCTGACCTACCGTCTTTGGTAATAAACCCTCCCATTATTGGATTGTAGAGAGCAGATGTGCTGGTTTACAGTGAGGTAAAGATAGAAAGTTAAGAGACTGTTTGAAACAATTCCTTTTGTATGAACTCCATGCAGCAAACCACGCCCAATACAGACTGGGTGTGTACGTGTTATTTTACAGGCTGTTTGAGACTAAATCAAAAAGGTTGAGCAAACTTTGTCTTTGAGTGATGTTCTTTAATTTGTTTTAAATGCAGTACTGTCTTTATATGTACAAGAGAAATGACATGTTTTGCTGAATGTATTCTTCAGTGTTTCTAGTCATGTCAAGTGTTTACATTCAGGTAAATGTGTTACCAATTTGTGTTATTTGTTGTGCATGACTGGAAGCCACTAGCGTAACAGGTTAAAGGTCAATGATGGGTATAAATAAAGCCACGCCTCCAATGGGAGTGCCCGTTGAATGAAATGCCGCTGTCTCTGATGTTTCGTTATTCCTCCGCTTATTTGGATGCTAAACAGCAATGAAGTTATGCTTACTCTGCTAACAGGTTATGGGCCCAGAGACACCCAAATAAGTATTTCCGGCGTTTGTCCACCGATGGAAAGTCGCAACGTAGCACGTGTGGTGGATTAGCAAGCTAAGCTAACGCCATGAGCAGGTTGGGCGCAGGTTCCAGTAGCCGCTGGTCTCGGTTAGTGTTTGACGGGGATGAAAAGAACTATGAACTGCGGGAGACGAAATTCTTAGGCCATCTTCGCTTACAGGGACTGAAGAATACAATTTTAAGGAGTCCTACGGACATAATTGAGGAAGATGAAGAGGCGGACCATGAAAGGAAAAATGAAGAGGCTTATGCAGAACTTATCCAATTTCTTGATGACAAAAGTTTGTCCCTTGTATAGAGCCCCTCCTCCAACACACACGAACGCGCACATGACCAATGAGGGCACAAGATAAGTTTGTGCACAGATGGAAGGCTGACAGGCAGGTAGGCCATCCAGTTATTTTAGCCGGGCCGGCTAAAATGATTGGTCGTGCTTTTTACAGTATTACGGCTTCCACAGATGATATTATTTTATGGATTTTTTCTGTAAGGTAGAGAACCTTATAATGTTTTTATTTGTTAAAAGACCACAAATGTGATATCAAGTGGGGGTGTTAACATTCAGGTAAATGTGTTACCAATTTGTGTTATTTGTTGTGCATGACTGGAAGCCAATAGCGTAACAGGTTAAAGGTCAATGATGGGTATAAATAAAGCCACGCCTCCAATGGGAGTGCCCGTTGAATGAAATGCCGCTGTCTCTGATGTTTCGTTATTCCTCCGCTTATTTGGATGCTAAACAGCAATGAAGTTATGCTTACTCTGCGAACATCAAGTATTTTTTATTCATACATCCCAAAATTGAAAATCACAAACTCTCCAACAAACAACACTTTCATTCTTAGACCCTATATTGTTATGAGTAAAAAATGGCCCAAAAAATCTTAATGGGATGACAAGTTATAGTTATGCATAGCAAACACAAATAACTTTCTACATGTTGATATGTCGCTTTATTCAAAATGGTTTTAATGTAACCTACAACAGATCTACACAGCCTATACATAACACACAAGAAAAGTATTATTTTCGGATAGTCATCTACATAAAGTAGCATAAAAAATGTAACTGTTGCATTTAATCTGCATTTCACTTGTGTCGTGTTTTTTCTCAGCTCTTCAATGATCGTTGGAATTTGTGGATTCACGCCCTTTATTGTTCTGTTTTTAGCACAGCTTGAATATCCAGTCCACCTGCATGTTCATTGTTCAGTTAGATAACTAGAAACAGTTCACCCTCCCATCAGCATTTACAAGAAATGAAACCTGTTCTTTGAAATGCCACCATAAGTGCCCATACAGAGCAGCACTTTTAGTTGTAGCTCGTAGTGTGTGTTCCCAACATGATGTGAAATGAATATGTCTACAGATACTGTACTTTCACAAGAGTGTAAACTTAATAATCTGAAAAGCAGCTAAACAAGAAAACACTGTACCGCCTTCTGCCAACTTTGTGGGTGGATGTACAAACCTCACTGTGTCTCTTAGCAGAGATGGGGTCGTTACTCAAAAAAAGTAATATATTACTTTACATCGTTACTCTCTACATAAAGTAACACGTGACTTTACTCATTACTTTACTCGTTGGGCCGCCCCTCCCTACAGGCAGATCACGCAGACTGCGGAGGGTGCTTCATTTTGCGGAGGGAGCCTCATCTGATGTGCAAATGCGGCGCACCTACAGTGTAAAGGCCCGTCCACACGGCGGCGTGCGTTGAAGCTTCAACGCTTCTGCCCATTCACTTTGAATGGGGTGACGTCACGCTTTGCCGAACTGCATTGTGGTTCCGTCGCTTCGCTTTGCTGGCGTTGCCCGCTTCAAAAGTAGAGCAATGTTCTACTTTTGAAGTTTCGACGGAAGCGTCAGCCAATCAAATCATATGCCAGTACAAGCTCTAGTCAATCAAATAGTGCTTGTGTGTCCGGGGCGGGAGATTCATGTGATTGGTTGTTGGTTTCAGTTTTGGGGCATTTTGTTCATTTGAAGTGTGCTCAATATTGGTTTTCTTTGTAGCTCTAGTGTACAGTATTCATATTCTAATATATGTGAGAATAAAATGGATATATTTGTAAATACAGACAATACTAAAGAGAAAATCATACACAATGGTTAGTTTATCTGGTTTTACTTTTTTATTATTCTTTTGATGAAACAATAAATAATAAAATGTAATCTATGAACTTCTACCAACATATCTCCCATATTTCAAGTACATTTCAAATATGGTAATTTAGACCGTTTCTTTGTAAAAGAAGGACAACTGGTCAAAATCACGAACTGATTAATAGAAAACGTGTTCATATTCAGTTTTAAACAACACAAAACGTATCTTTTAACGTAGTAATAGTTTAGGAATCAATAGTTGGTTGACAATTTACATCAATGGTGGCACAAGATAACCCAGCAGCAATGATGTCTTGTGGAGAGGATGCCAACAAGCATGGAAGCTCCGATTGGAAATATATATCTATAATATTCCACCAAGATTTTGATCTCTAAACTCTGCCTAAGTTCAAACATAATAATTATGTTGTTAAGAAAAGAATATGAAAACGTTTTCTTGGCATTATTCGAGGTCTGAAACAACTGCACCCTTTTTGTTATTATTGGATGGATTGTTAATACATCTAAATGACATTTGTACAATAGAGAGAATAGTAAAGGGTTCCTTCAGTAGATCTAACAGGACATTATTTTCTGATCCAGCTGAACTCCTTTCTGTGCCAACGTACACTTCTGTAGCAACACCTTTTGTGTTTCACTTCCTTAGAAAAGAAACTGATCTGATGAATGATCCGATGATAAATCTCCTCACCACATAATCAGAATCTGGCCCGTCAGGTTTTTGGCAGAGGAAATAATATCATCCTTTAACCTGTTCCACTCTGAGCCTGTTTTTCAGGTCTCAGGCTCGAAAATGACATTCCCAGAACAAATGACCATATCTTCCCTTCTAAAAGGGTTAAATTAATAATCTTTGTTCTCAAAGTAATGATAAACCTGTGAGTTGGATGTAGAAGTGTCAGAATCAATATAAATGTTTTTTATTTTAAAGAAAATTCAGATTTTACATAGTAAAAAACTGTAAATTATAGTGTTTTTTACAGATAGTGAAAACTACCCTTGGATGATGGGTTAGTAGACTAAAAGCTTTAGGAATCCAAAGTACAACATATAATAAGTACCCTGTATCAAGATTGATGCAAAACAAGTGACATTTGACCTTTTTAGAGAGGTTTAGCCAAAACCACCCCACCTCTGAGGTGATTTGGGTGAAAATGTTTTTTTTTCCATATCTCTGGCTTCCCTTGCTCGATTTGGATGGTTGACACACCCTTCTGACCGTTAGAGCCAATAGAATCGAAGGGGGAGGCCCACACACACACTCATTGTAAAGAGAAAAAGTGGGGGCTTCGCGTGTAGAAATCGAAAGCATATTGGATTAATGTCTCCTTCTGGAATTTATAAACTAAAAAGCAGTTGTATTGCTTATGGATTATCAGAAATAATTTCAAAGAAGGCACAGATACATAGGATGAACCTATGGATTAACTGCAGCATCGTTTTTTTATCGTTTTAATGCCATTGAAGACCAGTTTTGACCAAGGTAAGCCATGTTAGCGTTTCTAGCTACTTAGCTCCACATGTTATGATGTACGCTTTCGTTTATAGCGTCGCAAATGTTTATCACTGAGTGTTGAGGAGGGCACCATTAGATTCAGTGTCTCCAGGAGAACAAAAACGAGTGGTTGGCTGTGCATCTAGGATAAGTAATAAGGGAGTTATGAGTGAGTTTAAGTGCCGTTTTAGGTACATTTCTTTAGCTCGTGGCTAATTCAGAGGCTAAAAAATTAAAAAGATCAGTTAGCTGAGTTTCTTCCCGTTACATGGATATAACACATTCATAGTTTTATTCAATATTAAGATTCCTTAGACGTTGTTTCCTGCAAATGACGCGTTTATCCACCCAGTACCGGGCGGAAGGTGCGTAACAGGTTAAAAAAATGCAAAACACATGAAAATATTTTTTATCAAACCCACACCATGTTTAAAACAAAAGATAAATAGTTCCAAGATAACTAATCTCGTTGGATGAATGTTTTGATGCAAACAGCTTGGCAGTGTTTTCAGAAGAATTGTCATGCTACAAACAAATGTATTTACCAGATTAAGGATATAAAAAGGTTTCCAAAAGGGGGTTCAGGGGGGCCTCTAGAGGGTTGGGGGAAATGTGAAGCATTAAGAGCACAGGAAAGGATACACAAAAAAAAAATGTACTACACAATGTTGTATATTTGTAATCCTTCTATTGGTGTAGCTCTGAATACAGCAATGATTGAGTCCACCACTGTTCCAACACACTCTCACTCCCTAAGCGTCCAGGAGCGACGCTTGGTCAGGGTCCCGTGGCGTCCAGTTGTGACGCGCCAAGGCTCCTTCAGCTTCATAAACGGAAGCAAAGAGCTTTCAACT